CCTTGAAAGCAAGTTGTCCGTAGGCAGGCATTACAGTCGAGTAAACACGAAGTAGGTGTGATGCGGGTTCCGGGGTTCAGTGGACCGACTTGGACAGCGGCAGTTCGGCTGTACACTCGACGCGGGTTGGGTGGACAAGGCTTGAGTGGAACTACAGCCCTAGACGCCGACACTTAACTTAGCTCTCTGCAACGTCGTGGCAGGTATGAGAGCGTGGGTCGACTGGTGGCTTCTCGCGGCAGTCGTGCACTTCTTTCATGTGTTCGTAACCCCAAATGCTTTCAGGTGACCTTGTACTGCAAGGAACATAGTCCTTTACTGCAGAGACGAGGTTTTCACACGAATGCACAGTGTTACAATCACCAAAACTGCCGACATCACTAGGCGGCCTATGGATCAGCAATGTGGACTTCTAGCGTCGTTTGAAAGCCTCATCAGTCGGTGGGAGCGTGAAAGGCAGTTTAGAAACAGTTTTCATCGGCGCATTTCCAGACTATGCAAGCTTTCCCACAAAGCGGTCTAGCGAGTGTGATAGCCAGGATCCCGTGGGTTCTGCTGACCCGGAAAGGAAGTCCGGTAGAGACAAGTCAGGTGGTTTGACGTAATAAATGCTTGACTGAATTACGATCTATTTCAAGTGAGAGTGAAGTTGGGGAGTGATTCATCGAGGCGGGGTAGATGTCGAGAAACAAGGCGGACTTAAAACGAAGTCGCGTATAAAGGCGCGCACACCCTCACACCCGTGGGACGATGAATGGGCGTTTCCCAGCAACCTAACAGGACAACAGCGAATGCACACACACACACACAAATAAACACACTTAACACCGAACAACCCTCGAAGTGTTACGCCTTTTTCATTAAAATCTGTCTTGCGTAATTGATACGGACGCAGCTAGTAGCCAACAGTAAAAACGAGAGCGTGAATACTTCCATTCACAGGGGTTGTTTACGAAGGCGCATAATCCATGACGCGTCAGATTTGCGGATTAATGCATCCACCCAGAAGGCGTTTTTTAGTGGATTTTGGTCCTTGTAAACAAAGGTAGGACTGAATGTCAACTTGAATTAATCCATGATTGACTTAGAGAGTAAGTTGGTAAAAGTTGCGGCAAGGCGAGGAGCGATTATTATAAAAAGCAACCTCAAAGGCGATTGGTTGGTCGGAGCAAGTAGGAGAAATACGATTGGTTGGTTGGCAAGGCCGTCTGGCGTGATTGGTGGCGTGTTTTTGTTAACCATGTCATGTGATACCATGGACGAAATTTGGATTGAATTTTGCTGCGACGTGGTCATAGCTACAGTTTCTTGGACTCGTCACACCAATGAAAGCTACAGATTGCTAGACAAGTACGCTACTTGGGGAGAATTCGACAAACATCCTGAAAAATCACTCAGACACGGCTTGCCGCGAATGTTACGACGTAGGGGTAATGGGTTCGGAAGCTATAGCGGTTGAATATCGAGGTGTTTGTAAGTGGTTGTCCTATAAGCAGGCAAAAGAACTTTTGTTAAATCGGCAGTTGAAAGCACAGAACGAGAGGGGTCTGATGAAGCGGTATTGGCATGCAGAACTTGCTGAGTGCTGTCAGTGACACTACAAGAGGACAGTCGGTTAAGAACCAGTGAGCAAGTACCATTACCGCAACCCGATTGGCATTGGATTTCGATGGTTAGCACACGCCAATCACATGCTAGGATTTGTGGGTTTTGTGAGGTCCAAATCTTTACAGTTGCACGAGTATTTAGAGGTGCTGTGACTGTGAAGCATCACGATCTTTCATTGCAGTCTAACAAATTTATCAAAGACAAGTTACTGGCTTCCTAAGACTGACGTCCGGCAATTTGCACAAAACGATTGCCCATTTTGCAACTAAAAATTAATAATTTAACCTAAGCTTGAAGCGGTGGTGACAGAATTGTCAAATCTAGAGCGTTGTTTAATAATCGGATGAAGAAGGTGGGTAGATGTACTTTGGGTCCGACTCCATCAACGTCGGAGATTTGCAGAATAGGCGAAAAACGGTACTAATGATGTAGTGTTTGAGAGAATTCTGCGTTAGACTCGCTAAGGGCTATCATAAGAACGTTTAAGCAAATCAGACCACTTGATGCCTTAACTGTGAGTCTCCACGACTCTAAGGGAATGCGCGTGTCATAGCTAGCACGGTGGACAACGCGAGGGGTCAACTCGGGGCGGCGTTGTCATCACGTGACAGAAACCAACCAACAGGGCATCAAATCAACAAGAGTCCACAATGCGCGGTGGAAGGGCGCTGGTTCGTGCACTCCAAGAGAAGACTGGAATTTAAGGTCATTTACGCGCGTTCAGGTCAAGATGCTGCGGCTTAAGCGTGCACCACTCAGGACTAAAAGGTGGAAGAGGTTGCTTGTCGTTTTACTGAGTTCGTCAAGATGTGACCGCGTACAAGTTCTACAAACACGATCAATGAAACAGAAGGCGGTAGAGAGTGCGAGATCGCGGAATATGCACTAGTAATTAGGAAATATCCTGCCCCCAACACCGTATTCTCAGCCTACGTCTCATTTCTTGCACAATCGCGCGAATAATAGGGAATAAAATTACATTGATAAAGGAAGCTTGCGACAGGGTGAGAAAACAGTGTGTGCAATAAGAGAAGCATGGAAGATGGGGAATAAAAGCACAGCCATGGGCTTGACAGTTCATTCTCCAAACAAACAAACAAACTGACTAACTAATTCCCCTTCAAAAGGTCTTACAGCTACGTCTCAAAGGCTGACTGAATCATTCTGGCAAAAGAGACTTTCCGACTAGTTTCCAAGAGGACCAATTAAAAACTAAAACTTGGCAGGATACACACAAGTAAATGCGTAGAGATGGCATATCAAAGTGCCAAATGCGTGGCATTAGGTGTTTCTGCACATCAAGACATGCCAGTAGGAGAAGCTAAACGCATGAATGGCCAAAACAGAGGCACAATAAGGGTATTAACTCACAAGGAAGCCCTTCTCTTCGACCAAAATTTCCTCAGCTTGGTCGTGGGGGAATGAGCCCTTAGTGGAGGAGAAGGCAGTCGCAACCAGGACATCGGGAGACTCATCGGGAGTGCGTCGTTGGCAACCGGAGGAGGAAAGTGAGTCAGGCGGAGGGCGTGGCGTCTCCGTGGTGACGACACACGTAACCGTTGTTGCGGCCGATTGCAAATCCGCGCTCAGGATGTCAAAAGAGAGGTTTTGCTTCTGCTGGAGAACAGGAAAGCGCGCGCTAGGCAGGAGGCCGCCTTCCCGACGAAATGCAAAATTGGCGAGGGTTGACGACGAGGGCTTGCGGGACGAGAGCTCGGGCGGCCACGACCGAATATGCCCCATCGGAATGGGATAATCGGAGTGGTATGCGGAGTGGTAGCCGCTGCTCTCGCTGCCCGGAGTCACCACTGCTGAGACTGAGGAGCCGTTAGTGGGAGCTGGTCCGCACCGCGGAGGCAACAGTGACGCGGTTTCAGGGGTTCGCGACTTCGGCCGGGTGTCCGAGGCCAGTTTCCGTCGACGATTGGAGACGGTCTGCAGTTTCCTGCTAACACCGCCCTGAGAGGAGATGGAGGGAGAGCGGGAGTAGAGTTGAGGTGCAAACGATGGAGAAGTGACCGAGGGCAAATAAACACGAGGAGGGTTCGATTTGTAGTTCTGTACCCGGGAGCCTGCAATCTTCTCCACTAACAACGTAGAGCTAAAGCAATGGTTGTTGTTGGAATCCTCGACATTAGCTTCACCGGGAGACTGAGGGGGCGGCAGATGATCGGGAAGATTGTGCGAATCACCATTAACTTCATGGAGGCGCTTCGTTGAGGAGGCGCCATTTGCGGCTTCACCCTCGTCTTCAGAGATTTTTGAATCGTTGTCACTTTCACCATCACCACCGGTGGCCCACTGACTGCCAAGAGTGAATGCAGCAGCACGGGTCATGTCTGGGCAGCCACTGGCCTCACCTTGGTCCACCATAACAACGACGGCATGTGTGCAACTAGTGTCGTTTCGGCCAAAATTAGTCAAACTTGCAGAGCTCCCTGCAGGCCCAACACTATTACGGATGTTATTTGTGCTTGAACTAATCGGCCGCCGACCCCAGAGACCGGATCTGGAAGCAGTCTCTTCCAGAGGTGGCTTCTTTACCCCGCCCTCCGCCTCCTCTTTCGACTTTGCAATGCTCTGTTTGCAGATGCCGCCTTTGTTATCGATGTTGCGCACAGCCTCTCGAGTCCTCGAGGCCGTCTTCGCATCCTTAACAAAGCGCGGTGTAGTGTTGCCACCACCGCCTGAACGAAAGTAGGAAGAGTAAGGCATTTTGCGGAGGCAGGGGTTACCCGGTGTCTGGTCGCCGTTGTTATTGATAATTGCATCCTCGATGGGGCGTTTCGACACACCGCTGGCGAGTTTGTAGATGTTGGGTGAGGAGCCGCCAAGTGCGGACCCGGCCCCACCAGCACACACATTTCCGCCATTGGTCACCCCGGAGGCGTCGGCTGGCACCTTTGAGGAACTGGCCAATGCGCGAGCGCCTGAGAAGAACCCACTGGTCACGACTAAACCTGCGCCACTAGGAGTGGGAGCTGCAGGACCGTTGTTGCCCAGCGCAGACCCACGGGCAGCCTTGGCGTCTGCGCCATTAGTCGCTCCACGGTTGTTGTCAGGTCCACCGTTTGCCGGCACGTTCATATGGTGCTGATTGGTCTCGCTCAGTGCACCAGAGTGGTCGTTCGACACCTCCCAATCATAGGGATCGCCCTCATTAAGGGATCGCCGTTCCATGTAGTTGTTGAGGAGGGATTGGAGGTACTGGTAGTCTGGTTTGTCAAAGTATGTCAAGCTTTGAATATGCTCAAGAAAGGCACGAAATTCCCGAGGCATAAATTTTAGCAGCTGGTTCTGATCGAAGGATTGCTTCATGATGCCTACTTGCTCCTTGTCTTTGGTCTTGCGCCAGGGCAGTTCACCAGTTATAAACTCCGCCAGCATGTAGTATAGTGACCACAAATCATCCTGACGTCCAAGTTCTTTGTTGAGATGGGCGTTAACCGAGGCGTAACGAACAGTGCCGCGAAACCCGGCTACCTGTCTAGGCGGTCGAATGTCACCGCTGGTTGTGGTGTACTGACGCGCCAGTCCAAAATCCAGCATAACAATACTTCTGGGGCTAACTGAACCAGGTCCCGTGCCATTACCAAGTGCAAAGTTTGAGGGCTTGATATCACGATGAAGGAAACCGACAGAGTGAATGTTTTCAATAGCGGTTAGAATCTGGCGGGCAAGTCGTACTGTTGTGGAAATGGAGAAGTAGCCACGGCGCGTAGAACGACGTAAGTCTGCCAAATTTCTGCCCTGTAAAGTCATCACGATATAATTGTACTGTTCATTGCGACCACAACCGATAAAGCGACAGACATGGGGCTTGCCCTGCAACCTCTTTAATACAGCAACCTCCATTTTGAGAACCTGTTTGGCCTGCTGAGATGACTCTACTTTGATTGCAACCTTCTGTTGAGTCATGGTATCGAGGGCTTCATAGATCTCACCAAAGCCACCGCCTCCCAACTTCTTGTGAACCTTCCACCTATCCTTTATAACAGATCCCAGAGCGACAATATCGCTTGTAGTTGATGTCATGCCTAAAAGAAAAAAGGCCTCACCGATAACACGCGAAATTAGGGCAAAAAACGAAGCGCTAGTTAATATATATAACGGCACTCGTAGCATTCATGGAAAACGTATTTTACAAATGGTCTTAAAAGAGTTTTATTTTGGCTTCAGACTCTTCTTTATAAGACAGTGATGACAGTTTAGGTGCAGGCGGTTTCAATATTTTAAAAATAATGCGCATTTTCGGAACGAAATGCGCAGTGAAATGAGAAATTGCAGCAAGTTTGAAAACCCAGGAAATATTCATCGAATTATAACATTAGAAATTAAAAAAATATGCTGAACAAACAACCAGATTCAAGGAATTTTAAAGCTGTCTGCATTTGACAATAATAGCAAAAATAGCGATATTAAAATAATTTCATGAGAGTACAAAAACAAATCCTGTTACAGATCCTTAAAGGAGTAAATACGATTAAGCGTTCCAAAACTATCTTGGCAATTAGACCTATTTGTTCGTTCAACTGCATATGGATAGTTGAATACAAAATCACTGCTTATAAGCGTAATCGAAATAAATTAACTCTATTTGCGCGATTTCATAGAAGCACGAAACTAACTCCATGAATGGCAAAATAAAATTTACGAACAAACATGACAAGCAAATTTTAAATGAAAATAAATAAAAAACAAATATGTGCAGCTCGAAAACTAACGATGAAGCGAAAAAAATTCATTTTAACGGATTGATCGACCACTAAGCAAAAATCAACAGGACTGCCTAGTACTCCTATGCAATATAAAATTGTCACATTTATGTATGAAAGAAAATAAAATTACAGAAAATAAAAAAATGTTTTAAGTACGCATAAAACAAGTTATAAATAAAAATAAAAATTGCGGAATTTACAAGTTATTGAAATAACAGATAAACAATGTTTTGTTATGGCCATTTTAGACTTAAAAAAATATATTACTTAACAAAGCATATGATTTGTACTCCTATCATGGCATCAATAGCCTACGCCCATGCGCTAAGGTATTTCTCAGCGCAATTATATAACTAGCAACCGCTAATTAAAAAGAATCAGATAATTATATGGGACACAGGTGAGGGACGTCCAAAACACATAAAACACAATTTACAAGTCAGAAGCAAAAAAATCACCAGTTAACGTACTTGTGTAAAGTTATCCTTTGCTATTAAAATATATCATTCATTGGTAATAACACCAAAGCATTGAAAACGCTATTTAAAGGCCGCTCTTTCTAGTATAGTCAAGCATATAAACATTGCAATGTAAGTAGGTAGTTAAAACAAACAAACAATTAAACATAAAGCTATTTAGAACATTACTTCCCAAAACTAAAAGAATTTAAAAGCAATTATTATTACTTTTTTAGGCTCATTTTGCTTAAAAACTAATCTAATTAACAAACCCTATGGTGCTTAATAAACAGAAACATATTTGCTTTATATAAAATGCTACTTTTTGCAGTAAAAATAGTTGACTACCATTTCATGGTACTAAACTACTATAAACCTCACATCTGCTATTCACTAAACCCATGAGAACGATTTTTCGCTCATATAAATTAAATTTGAAATGCATCTAAATTTGATAAAGGAGCCAACTAGTGCGTAAATAAATAAGCAAGACTCTGAAGCACATGTGAGGTATACTCGACAGCGCAAGTCAACTAGCACTTAAACGTTTGATAAATAATAGTAGTCATTATCCTGCTTCCAAAAAAATTTACTCTTTTATATCACGTCAAACCTACGCAAATATTTACCTGCAAATTATTTTTTGAATGTCATTGTAATTTAGATAAGTTATCATAAAAATGAGACAATTTCAAAAAAGACCCTAGTTTCTATGTCCAAAAATATGTCAGTTAAGTAAAAAATTTAAGGCGCAATTGAATTAGTGTTTCAGTAATTTGGCTGTGTTTTTGTTGAGTGCCGGTAGCGACTTAGG